TCTGCCTAGAATGTGGCCCCAGTTTCTTACCCCACATGAACCTCCAGCAAATAGCAAGTCCAGGACAAGCTGTTCTCATTCAGAGAGGAATGATTCGAAAGTAACCAAAACCACAAATGCACGTGGGTTTGAGCCAGCAGTTTAACTTCTAGTAATGTATATACTCATGTATGTACAAAATGATGAACACGCACAGGCATTCGCTGATGCTCTGTGAAAACAAAACATTGGAAGCTGTCCAAATGACACCACCTGCGTTTTGATTGCCACAATTGTGGTATANAAAACATTGGAAGCTGTCCAAATGACACCACCTGCGTTTTGATTGCCACAATTGTGGTATACTCATACAGAAAACTCCTTGGTAGACAAAAATGAATAAAAGAGAACTTGGACAACACTTGCATAGTGATGTGGGATACTCTCCAAGTTACGATATTAGGTAAGAAACCAAGGTGTGGGATGCGAAGTATAACGGGCTACCGTTTGTGTATAAAAAGGAGAAGAGTGGTATTGTTTATGTAGAAACCATCCCTGGGAAAACACAAGCTGGTAACCCTGATTACGCTGGAGATGGAAGACACGGTGGTGGGTCCGGGAAAAGAACTGGGAAGGAGACAACTGTGCATCTTTTCATAGCTTTCGAAGACTAGTATGTGGATGTCCCATCCTTTCAAAAAATAAATAAAATGTTGAACAAGCATATTTTATTCTATTACTGTCATGATGAAGTCAGAGTCTAGATGTCGGATTCATAACAATATAGATATGCTCAATGTGTTTGTTTTGTTCAAGTGAATAAATTGAAAAAGAAGGCAGACTAAAAAACAGATAATCAATTCCAGAGGCACGGAGGTATCATTTTCCTGGGGGTGCCAAATTCAGCAATGTTCAGGTGAGCAGGGACCACATTAGGTAAACCTAAAATAATTGAGACTGGAAGAGGTCTTATGCTCTTTTTTTCTTTGTCCTTTTTGTGACCGGCCGCACTGCGCTCAGCCAGTGAGCGCATCGCACCGGCCATCCCTATATAGGATCCGAACCCGCGGCAGAAGTGCTGCTGCACTCCCAGCGCTGCACTCTCACAAATGCGCCATGGGCTCGGCCCTAGGTTTTATGTTTTTAGTATGCACAGTGACATCTGTGAAAAGATTGTGCTAAAGCTCACCACTGTCTTTCCACACCTTAACAAAATGATGTAAATTACTTCCTTCATCCACGCCCACTGGCACACATGCGCGCACACAGAAACTTTTTACAAGAGGTCTAAAACATGAATCTAAAAAAAATTAATCTATGTAAAGGTTGAGTAAGTTGGTCCCAAGGTCACAGTCCTGAGGGTAACACCTGTT